CCCCCCCCCCCCCCCGTTCGTGTCCCACACACTAAAGAGTCTGCTATAGAGGATTTAGGCCTAACGCCTGCCCTGAAGTATGGTACATTCTCGCTCGATCCATGTTTCATGTTGGGCTGTTATGAGGGAAGTTGGGGGTAAAGGGTGAGGGGCTGGTCCAGCTTCGACTTGTAACAGCAGAAGTAGTAGCAGGAGAAGTAGTAGTCGTCGTCGTAGTACTAATACCACTAGTACTAGTGCTACAAAGAGCGCAATGCTGAAGGACGAAGCATACCTAGATGCACGAGACTTGCATGCCACGGCCATGCGAAAGTTTTGTCGTCCTTGAAGGGAAGTGATACTGTAAATACCTGCATGAGCCTAAGTACCCGACACCTTCGAATTACGCTATTCTAGTGTACTACTCTACTAAGGTCTTGCATCAATGATGACACCATAAGGGATAAGGGTGCAGTATTCGGGCTGGTCAATCCGTGATCCAAATCAGACTCCCATGCAAACACCCTCCTTAAGTAGATAGAATGTGGGTATTTGGGGATCTTATTATAATATACCCAAAGCCATATTCTATCTACTTAAGGGGGACTGTAGTTTCAAAGAGTGTTTCCTTGTTGTCCACCTTACAGGTTCCCAGACAAGGTTGTCAACAATAGTGCTTGAACAATTTGCGGCAACATGAGCTGTAGTCTAAACTCCTTAAAGGAACGTATATAGGGGACTAGAATAGGGGTTATTAAGGGGGATACTAGGAGTTTGGACTATAACCCCATAGTTACCTATATAATCCCAGTTTCCATTTCATTTTCCATTTTCTTTTCCATTTGATTCTCCATTATTAAGGGGGATACTAGGAGTTCAGACTATACCTCACATGTCTTTCAGTTTATCTGCAAGACCACCACGCTGAGGCTTCGCATGGCGGCAGCATGTCCGTGCGGGTGGCCCCTCGGGTCTACCATAGATTATAGGGGTTATATAGGGGTTATATAGGGATAATGGAAAATGAAATGGAAACTACAGGGATTATAGGGGTTATATAGGGCTTCGAGGCGCTCGGGGTTTGACGCTCAAGGTGTGGGGTGTAGGTTCTTGTCGTTTAGGGTGCAGCTGTAAGATTCAGGTTTGGGTCTCGAGCTTCCACCATGTGCTGGAGCAACACGCTGTGTTTCCGTTCAGCCCACATCTTGCTGTATTTTCCTGTATGAAGTTCAAATTCCTTAAAGGGGCTATATAGGCAATGATACAAGGGAGTCTAGGAGTTTAGACAAGACTCCTGAATAACCGCTACATATCCCCTTAAAGCCAGACCTCTGTAGCAATCTTCCACTGCAGGACTGATACGTGGTCCAGGTCGGAAATTGTAATCCCAAGGTTGCCCGGTAAGGCTCCTTTGCTTCTTGGGAGTTTAGGCTTGCCATGTGCTCCCAATGGTCTGGCTGTACAACTGGAAAAGAGAAGGTTGGCGCATTGGCGCAGTCATCGGGCTACTGCCGTAGCTGGCGTCTTTTTGGCAAAAGTCTGGATATACCTCTGACATCCCTGGTAACATCCGCGCTACTGGTGCTGAGGTAGTAGTTATGAAAGACGAGGGCCTGCTTGGTGAATATCTCAAACCAATATTTGGCTGGGTGTCCCCAGGATTTAAATTTGGAGAATTTAATCCTGACCTTTTAGCCGGCATAAAAATGACATGATGCAAAGGCTGATTTGGCGGAGTGGTCGTGGCTCTCACAGGCAGCGTAAACTGCTGAGAAAGAATGTGCTGTGAGTGTAGAATAGGTTTTTGAGCTGCTTTACAGACCCTGTGGTGAGAAATCCTGGAATAATGCGAAGCTTGGATCTTGAGGCTCGGCGCTTGGGGATTAGGGCTTAGGGATTAGGGTTTAGGGTTATGGGGTTAGTGTTTAGGGTTATGGGATTACGGATTCGGGTGTAGTGTTTTTGGTTACGGGATTAGGGTTTACGCTTTTGAATTAGGGTTGGGGTTGCGGCATGAGGTTTAAGTTCCAGGCATTCGGCGCTCTGCAGAACGCAATATGCCGATACTCCCAGTGTGTGACTGTTGTTGAGATGTTGGTTGCCCCTTTCCGGCAGGCCGCCCCCCCCCCCCGCCCCAAACCAAAAAAGGTATTGTTAAATGTCCCGGTCGATCACGCCTCCCAAACAAAACAATCCTGATCATGGGGCCCTGGCAAGAGATCCGTCATTCTTCAGAACTACAGAAAATGCGACGTCTTATGGATTCTCGGAACCCTAAACTGTTGATGGCGAATAAATTGCTACAGGGCTACAGTGGCCAGTACAAGCTGTGGCACTTTCTATAGGTCACTGGCGCTTCCGGTTTGGAACTCAGGGTTGTGCAGTAGACGCGATTGGGCTTAAGGTTGGGGGGTTGCAGGAGTGGGGCTTAAGGAGCTTGGCGTGTAATCACCCTAAATCCTAAACCGAAAACCCTAAGCCACTTGTTGAGACACCCCAACTGAGGCACCACCATCCAGAAGCCAATTGATTGCTGCAGGCCCCCAGGGATAAGGGTTTAGGGCTTAAGGGTTTAAGGGTTTAGGGGCTAAAGTTTAGCGGTTTTGGAATTTAGGGTTTAGGGTTTAAGGGTCTAGGGGTTCAGAGTTTTAGGGTTTAAGGCTTAGGGCTTGTGCTTAGTGGAGAAGAGTTCCAAACGAGTAGTTATCACGTGTGTACCCTTACAAAGGCCTAGATAAACTTCACATACCCCAAGCACTTGGTAGCCACCCATCTGGAAGTGTTCTTGACTTACATAACCCCCTCCCCTAATATTAACCCCCCCCAACTCCCCTTAATACTAAATGCTCCCATTAAACTATATGGTATCTTGTAATATTGGGAGTATTTTAATTTAGGGTGGGGGGGTGTAAGATTAGGGGGAATGGAGCGAGAGGGGCAGGCCTAAGAGCTTCAAGCTTGACATTCCTCAGGGAAGTTGTGGGTTTATGAGAGCTTCAAGTTGCAATACTGCTTCGATTTCTGGGCTCCATACAGCTTCCTTTTCTTACTGGTGGTTAGTAGGGAGTTAGGAAATATGATATCTAGGGATGATCTAGGGATAATATTCCCAGCTAGTTAACCACCAGAAAGTGTTTTGATGTGACTTTAGAGGGTCTGTTAGCCGTAAGACGGTGTGTCGTCAGGCATTACGGAATTCGAGCCACCATGATGCCACGGCAGCCCCAAAAGCGCCCTGCAAAAACTATTGTGCTTTACATGGGGAACTACATCAGTTTTCATGTTTGTTTGGCGATTTGGGAGGGTATGAAGCTGGGCTGTCTCTCTGAACGTTGGTCCCTGCAAAAGGTGGCGAAGGTAAGTCTTCCCATCACTTTTGCTGCAGTGTTACTTGTGCCTTAATCGTTTGCATGTTGTGAGCTAGGTAGGGAAAGCCGTTATAGAGAACACTTGTGTGCTCTGTGGTATACCTACCTAAGTTTTTAGTCGCACCTCAGTCCAAAAATGTGCATAGCTGGGTTTAGGATTTAGGGTTTCGGGTTAGGGGGTTATTGTGGACGCAGTTTTGATCAAAGAGAAAAGCCCATACGGAATGTGGCTTTTTTTCACAACACTAACCCAACAAGGAGCCAGGTTTTCACCATGTTTTCCAGTATCCGCTCAGGAATACTTTGCTATCTTGTAAAGTGCTCCATCTGAAAAAATATCTCCCAGGACAAGGAGCTGCTCTTAGCAGATTCTCGGGTTTGACTTGGTAGGAACCCTAAACCTGTGTCCATAGTGTCTAGGATTTATCTTTCGGGTCCCCTCCCTAAACCCTAAACCCTTCAAACCATCCTAAAGTCGAAGCTCTTCAAGCTCAAGACACTTAAGACTCGTCAGCGTGACCCTCTGACCCGAAACACAGACCTCTTGTCCACAAACCCTACATGAGCTAGAGTTTAATTCAAACTCCTTAAAGTGGCGTTATGTAGGGGATTCTGTAGGGGATCATTATAGGAGTCATTAAGGAGGATGCTAGGAGTTCAGATTATGGCCAACCGTACTCCTGCCCAGAGGCTTTCCTCGCGAGCAATCCATGCCGTGCGGATCTCATCAGGAGTACTGTAGTGACTGTAGTGGGCTTGGGCGTCGCAAAACGACCCCTGTATCATTCCAGGGGGACACCTGTAGTCCCATTGCAATGCCTTGAAACTAATGTTTAAAGCCCCCACCCCCCCCCCCGGGCCCGTACTGGTGAACTATCACTCCCGCATACTGATCTTTCGGGAGAGATCATGTGATATTGGTATGAAAGGATTCTTCCCGCTGCGTACATGCCCTTGTAGCTTCCAAGTTTCACCCCATGTTGAGACCCCCATTCGCCCAGGTGCAGTTTCTCAAAACATGGGTTCACAAAAGAAGGGTCTAAGTTAGGAGGAACCCCCCACCCTGTAATAGTGGTATAATAAGAATATACGTAAGAGGACCCTAATATCATCCCTATTATCCCCTATAGTCACTATTGCAGGGTGGGGGGTCCACCTAAGGTCTAAGTGGCAATTTCAGGGATCTCTTTTTGAGAAGCAGGGTGGATGGACAAAATCTTGCGCCACTCCATGCACCAAAACACTGGTCTAATGCTAGGGTCTGTATATTGGTTATATAGGGATAATGGAAAAGAAAATGGAGGCTATAGGGATTATATAGGGGTTATAGGGATTATAGGGCATATATTGGGAAACCCCCCTACAGCATGACTGCAGGGCTATAGTATTTTGGGGTCTATTTTGGAGTTATTTTGGGAAACTACCAAATTTCAAGGTTGACTTAAAACCTAAACCCGAAACCCTAGCTCACCTTTGCTGCCTATCGAAGGCCTTGCGCTGAATCGGAAACTACAAATTATGCGCCCACCTGGGGTTCAGGTTTCCGGCAGCATTGCACACCTGCCCCGCTCCAAAAAAGATTTAAGATGGACACCCAACATTCATGTTGAAAGATTGGTATCTACCCATATTACGACATATATATATATATATGTATATGGATATCTACCTCTTCTATATATATATATTATGTATACATATATATCTGTATATATGTTATATGCATGCGCCTGGAGTGTCTGGTGAGTTTGGAGAGGGAAGAATGACTCCTATCTGGGAAGCAAGGAGGGAGTTGATTAAAGCGATCTGCCTTCATGCCATATCCAGTGCCACCACGGTTACAGGTGTAGGGTTTAGGGTTTAGGGTTTTCAGCGCTGGTTCTGAGTAATTAAGTACTTCAACCTCCCTAGTCTGTTCCCTCATTTTGTTACTACTTCTTTGACATGGAGACTGCTCATGACAGGGAATTATGCTAAGCCTCTTTCCCTGGCAGTAACGCCTCCTGACCGTCAATAACGGTTTCCCGATACAGCTCCTTTACATTACATTTCAGGAGAATGTCTAAACCCTAAACCCTACATAACCCATTATCGTAGTTTCCATGTTCTTTTCCATTATCCCCTATCTGACCCGTGTATTACCCCTGAATTAGTACTAACTAATTACAACCCAAATGGGTCTGTTGGGGACCCTCAGCAGAAACGCTGAGGATTCGGAGCCCTTCGCATGCCACGGCGCGGCTGCCTTGCAAGGAAGCTATACTCCCTCAAGCTAACATGGAATTCTGCAAGGGTTTAGGGTTTTGGGCTTAGGATTTAGGGTTTTGTGTTTGGGGTTTAGGATGTAGGGTTTAGGGGGTCCTTGTAAAGACTATTGTCGGTTTAAGACAAGGGGGCCAACATGATGTTCCATGGTGGTGTAGGGACCGAGATATTATCAAGGCCTGCGGAGTTGCGATTAATGGATCTGCCGCCCCGTCCCCGTATGGACTTTGGGCAATGCATCCCTGTACTGTAGTAGATTACCAACAGTGTTCTTGTCAATCCCTAAACCCTAAACCCTACGCCCTATTCTGCCCCGAACAATCTCTTTTTTCTTATTTCTGCCCCGACATTGGGGTCGAGTGCCGCGGCTTTGGGAGTCTCCCTGAACTACCATGACAAAGATTACTGTCCTTTCTCTAGGGACCTCTGGACTTGCATGTTAGCTTAAATTGTCATGGGAGTTTGAGCATTGATACTCTCACTACCATTGAGCCCTGACCCCAACAACAGGATGTAGTAGCGCACTCGAGATTCTGGCGTATAACTTCGTGGGGTGCAGGGTTCTGGAATCGGCCCGACTGGTAGATGAGGTGGGTCTTGGCGAGAGCTGATAGGGTTGCTTTGGGAATATTGGTTAGTTTACCTATGGGGTGAACTTATGGGGAAACCAGAAATTCAAAGGACTTAGCTTTAGGGTTTAGGGTTTAGCTTGTATGATACTTTTGATCTCAATCTCAAGCAGGACTTTTTTGGATCTAGGACTCACTGAGCAGGAGCTCAAGCTCCCTGGTCTCTCACTCACTCGCCGACACAAAAGCTCCAAACCTCAACCCTACACCCGAAATCCCGAGCCCTAGGCTCTACATCCTATAATTCCTCAATCCTACCTTACTAGCCATAAACTCTATTAGGCGAAATTCTGCAAACCCCTAGATCCTGCAGGCTCTAAATCCTCTGAACCCGAAGCCTATGAGACCTGAGGTCTATAGACGCCAGAACCCTAAGCCGCCCTACATCCAAAACCCTAAATGCCATTAACCCTGAACCCCTCAAACCCTGAAACCTTTATCCTAAACCCTAAAACCCTAAATCCTAAACCCTAAAACCCTAAACTCCAAACCCTATCAACCCTGAAGCCCAAATCCTAAAACCTAAACCCTATAAACCCTAAATCCTGAACCCTAGACCCTAAACCATAAATCCTAAACCCTAAATCCTAAACCCTAAACCCTATAAACCCTCAATCCTCAACCAAAAGCCTTCTGGAGTCCCTTTGTTAAAGCGCAGGTCATGGCTTTGAGCTCGCCGAAGCACACGCAGGCCAGTGTAGCAAGGTTTAGGGGGGGAATTTAGGATTTAGGAGTTAGGGTTTAGGATTTTAGGCTTTAGGGTTTAGGGTTTAGGATTTAGGATTTAGGATTTTAGGATTTAGGGTCTAGGGTTTAGGAGTTAGGGTTTAGGATTTTAGGATTCAGGGTTTAGGGTTTAGGATTTAGGAGTTAGGGTCTAGGATTTTAGGCTTTAGGGTTTTAGGATTTAGGGTCTAGGGTTTAGGAGTTAGGGTTTAGGATTTTAGTCTTTAGGGTTTAGGGTTTAGGATTTAGGGTTTAGGATTTTAGAGTGTAGGGTTTAGGATTTCATGGTTTAGGGTATAGGATTTCAGGGTTTAGGGTTCAGGGTTTAGGGTTTAGGATTTTAGGGTTTAGGCTTCAGGGTTTTTGGTTTGGAGTTTAGGATTTCGCTTTTGGGGTTTGAATGGGTTCCACTACTAACTCCTGACACTACCTGCCCTAGGCTCCGCATTACTTCGCTTAAATCAACCCTGGCTCTGCCTAAACATCCTTCATTAAGGGGGAACTCGGAGGGAGTAGGTAAGGGGAGGTATTAAGGGAACCCGCGGGTTCAGGAACTTGACGCAAAATGCTATATTAGGAAGCCTCACTTATGAAGTACTTCAAGGTTTTGGGTGGTTGTACATCCATGTTACGATGCCTGAATTTAAAGTTCCTTCAGCAGCTCGGAGAATGAACAACTATGGTTTAGGAGTTCTAGTCCCCCTTATGTAGATATTGGGTATATGGGGATCTTATTATGATATACCCAAGGCCATATTCTATCTACTTAAAGGGGACTCTAGACGTAGCATGGTCTGAGGTTGCACTAATCTGGGTTCTGAGTTCAGGGTTTCGGGCAGCAGGGTTTACTTCAATAGTTGCAATGGCAGAAGCCTATAGAGTAGCAATACATGTGAACTCAACCCTAAACCCCTAAACCCTAAACCCTGAACCCCTAAACCCTAAACCCTGAACCCCTAAACCCTAAACCCTAAACCCCTAAACCCTAAACCCTAAACCCTAAACCCACAGCCGCAACTTGTGCAGCTTTGTGAAGCGACCGCGCCTCAATGCTCGCGTAATGCATGGACTGTTTGGGTCTCCTTGAACATGGTCTCTACCCCAACATGTTCTTCTCCGTGAGCTAACTTTAATCTTCCCAGGCTTACCACCATAAACAGCTGCTGTGCTACAGAAAAGCAGGCTCCCTGACACTAGGGACCCAAAACAGGTATGGGGGTTCTTGAAGTAGGCACCTTAGAATTCTGAGCTGATCTTAGAAGCCCCTATGAGGGATGATGTTGAGGATATGTCTGGAAGCGCTTGTATCACAATTGAGACAATGTCCCAGTCCGTGCCCTTGCATGAGGCTGTGACGATGCCTGCGCCTGGAGCTCAGATCTGATCCACTGCTATACGCTCCCTCAGACCAAAAAGGTAGTTTTTAAAAACATAGATTACCTTTACATATCCCCAAAACATCCTATACGTTGTATACTTATTCGGAGCCCTCACCAGAACCCCTGATTTTGGACATCCCCCTGAACCCCACGCCCTAAAATGTATCAGTAGTATCCATCTCATGTTCACCTTCTTTTTCATGTGACTTTCCACTAATTATATGGGAAACCTTGATTGTAGCTTACATGATGTGAACACATGGCTTCCCGAGTAGCCGATGGGAACCGGGCGTCTAGATGGTTTGAGGCCTACCCAAACCCCAACGATAACTAGAATGGGTGTCTTAGGGTTCCTTAATCTAAGCCTTTTAGGGTCTTTCTACCCCCCAGGCTCAACATATACCAACAGCCTTTTGTATCATGGTCTTTGGGCCCAAAGCCTCGAATCATGAGTCCCTTGAGCAATCTGAAAAATAGACCCTGATTGACCGCAGCCCTTTTGACTGGGGCCCCTGAGGTGTCGAAAATCGATAGGGGTCCACATAAGTAGAACAAGGTCTTCCAGCCTACAATGCAAGTTGAACAGGAGTTGATAGGGGGGATATCTTTCTAATTCTTCAGGCTTCTATAATATGTCCACAGACCCTCGGGGTCATCATACGTACATCGTTAACCCTAGATCCTGAGCCCTAAATCTCAAACCCCGCCTCTTTCGGATAACGCCGGTGTTGCTTTGTCTGAGACTCCAACCTTAATTACCTAGCCATCGTATACCTCGCTGTCTCCCCATGGATGCCTTCTTATATGAGGCGTACCTATGGCTTCCATCCTGGTAACTCCCAACCGGAGTTGTTAAAGAGAAGTTCCTAAGTGTGCATAGGACGCTTTGGATGTTGTCCTTGGCTGATGTTGGCATCTGCGCCGGTTAATAGGGGTTTTTCTGTCAGGAGGCAGAATATCAGTTTTTGCTGCAGACATAGACATCTTTCCCGCCCCCAAAAACATGGGTTCGCCCTCATATACCCCCCCGAGCACGCTGCTCCTTCTTTTGGGGCCATCCCACAGAGGCCACCTCAAGTTTTGTCAAGTCCAGTCAACAACGAAACCTTTGCCCCGAAGCCGAACTCTTGAAGGCCCATTTGATGGATTGCCCCTAACCTTGCACTCTGGACCTTCCAAGGTCATCGGGAGCATTGCAGGCGTGACCAGTGACCCTAGTGGTTGATACTGCACATCCTGAATGACCGAGAATTATGGTATTCAGGTTTACCGAGCGCATGCAGGGTTTTGAATATCAACAGAAGCTCTCATTGAAAAAGTTGCATAGTGGCTGAGTACCCGGAAATCTAAACCTTACACTTTACACATTTAGCCCTACTTCATGGACCCTGCCAGTCTACTCACTTGTGGATAATTTTGAATGAGGGAATGGAAAGAACATGAAAGCTACTTTTGTATTTAGGGTTGAGGAAAATTTTACTTTCTGGTGGTTAGAAGAAATTGGAGGAATCAATTAGAGGGACTACGATAGCAAGCCTCTCAAAACAGATGGTTTGGGGTTTATGATTGTGGGTGTAGGGTTCAGGGTTTATGGTTGTGGATGCGGGGTTTAGGGTGTAGCTAAATAGGCCTGAACCTCACTCGCGGTCCATGGTGACCAAATCATAAGCACCCGATCCCCTAACATGTTTTTACCTCGTGATATACAGTAGCACAACATGCCGGTTCGGGTTTATGGTTGTGGGTGTAGGGTTTACAGTAGGGCGTAGCTACCTAGCCCTGAACCTTACTCGAAGGTCCGTAGTAACCCACTTATAGTTAATCACAGGCCCCCGATCCTCTAACATTATTTTTAGCTCGTTAAAAAGGCACCACCATAAACGGGTTGTAAGTGCGCATAGACTTCTAAGTTATCCCCGAAGCCTCTACCCTGAACTTATTGGTGGTTAGCAGGGAATGGAGGAATGTATCCTTATCGTAGTCCTCGTATGTCGGACCCCCAAGACTCGTACCTAGTAGCCCTTCCCTCATTCCCTACTAACCGCTGAGCTCTCAACCCAGAGCCCCAAATTCTAAATCCTAAACAACAGTAGCAGGGTTTAGGGTTTAGGGCTTTTCCATTCCCTCATTCTCTACTAACCAGCAGTACGCATGCCCGACGGGTTGACGAACTTGTCTGCCAGCAGGGTCAACCCATCGTTTTGCCAGCAGCAGCGTGGGGCCAAGCATGGGGTTTAAGTTTGAGGTTTAGACCCAACGTTTTCAAAATGGCGCCAAAGCAGCCGGGATCGGTTGGGCTCACAATCCTACAAGGGTTTGTGAGGCTGAGAGTTTGGATCCTCAGTTAAGATTTGATCAGATGGTCGTGCTGAGTCAAATGGGGGTTCTCAAAAGTATGGTTGCTTCTTGAAGGGCCCATGTTAAGGACCATGGTATATATGAGTATGTTGTTCCGTGGAGGGAGTACCGTGTTTCCAGAAATGCCAATAGCGCTCAAGACGTTCCCAGAGCCCGCCGCTCCTAATCAAAAGATGTGCCCATTCGCCCATGCAGAGGAACACACACACACACAAAGACCCCGCCTTGGTATCTAGGTTTAGAATGATTGCCAGTGTTTTCACCTTGTCATCTTCGTAAGACTTTAGTATAGTGTACCTCAAAGCCTTATTGAAAATCATTGAACCTCCTAGGCTACGGTTTCGGATGTTTGGGATTCGTGTTCAGCCACTGGTACGAGAATTCGTCTCCCCCGTGCGTCCTAGGTAGCCCCAACCGGCTCCAACCCCTGTACACTGTTTTTAGGCCTCTTCAAAAAGGGCAGTGGGCTGTATAATTGGATCCTGGATTACCTTTAGTCTGGGGGGGGGTAGTCTTCCAAACGTGAACACGAAAGTCCGAATCCCGGAAAGTTTCACATTTCGAAAGATGGCTCAGAGACCTCCAGGGGACCATCGGGAGTCTCATGGGAAATGGCATAGGGTAATATGTTAGAAGAGGGTTGTAGACGAGTAGGATGACAACTGTCATCCTACTCAGCCCCAGTTTTACCATCAAAGTCCAAGAACGGCGGCGTGGTGTGTAATGAAATTCTGGAGGGACAGGCGGCTGCCTACACTGTGGGACCTCGCCATCCGGTAAGGGAGCTTTTCATGAGCGGGGTGCCTTTTGGAGTAGCGGACTCCCGTAGAAATATCTGCAAGTCCTTACTACGGATACCCAAGTTGAGAGACCTCTCATGGGGCTGCGAATTGCGGTCTGTCTATGAAAGCTCTACGCCCCATAAACCTGAACCCCGCGCTTGAACTCTTCCTTTTTATCGTAACTGGGATCCCAAGGGTGTACATAACCGCCTGCCTTTGATGATAAAACCTCCCCACCTCTCCAAAGCAGATCTAAGCCCTGAACCCTAAACCCCAGATGTGTCTTGAATCATACTGGGAGTTTGTTGCCAGGGAAACTTTTTCAAGGGAAGCCGGCTATTAAATCATCCTTCCGAGTCCGAATAAGACTCGAAAAGACCGCTTCTGCCTTAAAGAAGACTTTACTTGCAGGGCCAGGGGGCTTTGGTAACCCTAAACCCTAACCCCAAATCCTAAACCCACCCAAAACCCTAAACCCTAAACAACCCCTCAACCCTAGCCCCCATTATCGAGCTACTGATCAAGTTCCCCATGACCTTCCGAGCCCTCCTTGCCTAGACACCGCCAACCAGATGGTCTCCGCCTGGGAACCTGGGAACCCAGTTGAGCTATAGGGTTTAGGGTTTAGCGTTTAAGGTTTAGGGTTTAGGGTTTAGGGTCTAAAATCCTTAAAGGGGGGTTATATAGGGGATATATAGGGGACTGTTATAGGGCTTATTAAGGGGGATACTAGGAGTTTAGACTATAGCTCAAAAGTGAGTAGTATTTTATTTGAGGATACTGACTATGGTACCCATGATAGAGTAAGATTCTATCCTCCTTTTGGGGTATGGTACTTTTAAGGAATATAATCTTACTGGGTTGAACCACCAAACCAACATTACGCAGTTGAGCAATGGTCTAAACTCCTAGTATCCCCCCTAGTCATCATAAGATCTCCATATTCAGGGTTTAAGGTTTAGGGCTTAGGGTGTAGGGTTTAGGATTTAGGGCCCTCCTCCACTATATGATCCCCTATTTAAACTCCTTTAAGGAGTTTAGATTGTGGCTCAGTTGAGTAGTGCTTCATCTGGGGGTAAGATAGTCCTCAGTATCGAGTAAGGTAGTATCCTCCTTTTCATTGTGGTCCTTTATTAGTCGCGCGTAACATCACTAAGTTCAACCATCCCAGAGGCACTACTCAGTTAGTCTGGGCTATGGCTTAGGATTAGGGGATTACGGCTTCGCTGAGCTTCAGGCTTTGAGTTTGGGATTTTAGCCTTAATCAAGGCCAGGGCTAAGGGCATGTTGTACGGGGTTAGGGTTGAGGGTTGGTGTTGCAGTTAAGGGGTTTAGGGCTTCAGATTTTGTATTCACAGGAGGGTTCAGCGTTGGGGTCTTAGGGTTTTGTGCAGTGTGCTGGCTGGATCGTTGGGCGCTACTAGCTGGTTAAACAGTTAAACACGTTGTGCAGTCCCCCTAACTTGCCTCATATAGGCTTCTCCATTTGTATATGTAGCGTTTCAGAAATTTGGGGGTCACTTCTTAGGATTCCTTCTAGTAAGGATGATAGTGGTTTGGGTGTAGAAGCGGGCTTCTATCCTTCTAGACTCATGTAATTAGTTTGGGAACCCCAAACTCATGGTAACTAATTCGTATACCCCAAGCCCTAAACCCTAGACCCTGATACGAGGCTTTGGAGTAACCGCTCTGACTTCAGGGTATTCGGCCTCAGGGCTCCGGGTTTGCGGATGGTTTTGTGGAACATGCATTGGGCAAAAGTATCAGGCTAGATTCTCTGGAAGGATCCCTTGTCCTTGAGTGATGTGATGCCTACCTAGAAAGCCAGTAGCCCACAATTCTGGACTACTCTCCCCCCCTACTTTGCTACCATTGGTTGCTTGCTGCTGCCCATTGTCTTAGACAAATCAGGTTTTCGAGGTACATACAGGAGCCCTTTACTGCAGCTGAGGGAAGCAGATAGATAGTCTGCAAGTATTTTCAAGAAACTAACCATAACTAACCTTTGGTTAGCTAGGAATGAAGGAATGGGTCCTTATAGTTATCCGACTACGGGTTTAGGGTGTAGGAAGGAAGGACCGGATCCTTATTGTAGATCCCATGTAACCCATTGTAGTAGTTTCCATTCTTTTTCAACCCTTCATTCCCAGCTAACTCAAGGTAAGGAAAAGCCACTCTAGCTCTACCACCAAAGCTGACTGTGCGAAAGCAACATTTCCCGTCTGGATCTATAGGAAACAGTACTTTCGCAGAACTACGCTGTCTAGGTACCCATACTGTTACTTATATAGGGAGTGAAGGAGCGGCTCCCTAGAATCATCCCTGGAATAGCAGAAGCAGAGTGACAAGAGGCAAGCTTGCAGGTTGTCGGGCTTAGTGGACCCACCTTTCCGCAAAAGACGCCCAAATAGCATAGACTCAAAGGTCAGTTACATGCAACCTGGGCTTTACGTTGTGGATTTTGGGTAACTTCAACCGCCAAAATTAGGGTCGTAGAAGTTTCGCATGGCAATGCTGGGGTCCAATTTTTTGGGTGAGGATTGCCAAAGCCTGCTCAATTGAGATGGCGAAGACCGCCTGACCTGATATTCTATGTCCTGCTGTTTGCGTTGAGGCATGGCAAGGTGCACGGGTTTAAGGTTTGGGTTTTAAGCTTTTCTGCTCATGCCAAGCCACCTGCCAGAACGGGCAAAGCTCATTTAACATCAATGTTGTTCATAGTTTTGACCAGCAGATGATTAAGTACTCATGACCCTCAACACCTTCATAATCTCAGTCTCAAGTTCTACTCCCAACACCCTCAACTCTACGCTGAAATTCTAAGCTCTGAGGGCCCTTCTGGAACTTTAAGCTTTTAGCTGCAGTCTGCTAAAGTCTGAACAGGTCATTCGCAAAACGCTGAGCTGTCCTTTTAGATCCATCTTCTAGTGTAGGAAACCCCCCAAAAGGGATTCACAGTTTAAAAAACCCTATACATCGCCTATATTATATATACCCTATATAATATAGTAGTTTCCATCTTATTCTCCATGATCCCTATACCCCCCATATAATCCCCATATATCCCTGTAAAGGGACCTAGGGTTTCCATTTTCTTTTCCAAGCCATGAAGATCCTCCCTAATCAAATCCCCAACCTCCCTGGATGCGCCATACCCCCTTGCTTTTGTAGCTCAACACGTTCTAAACCCTAAGCCCAAAACTCGGAACCCTGAGCCCCAAACCCTAAACCGTAAACCCCAATCCTGAATCCCAGGAAGTGAGCGGACCCATTCTTGCTTTCGCAGTGGCTATGAAAACGCTTGCGCACTTCTACGACTTATAGTCCCCTTTAAGTAGATAGAATATGGCTACGGTTACATATCAATAAGATCCCCATATAATCCATATTCTATCTACTTAAGGGGGACTATACCTGAACCCTAGGGAACCCCCATTGGTTTGGTTCCAAGTGAGCTATTGTCTAAACTCCATAAAGGGAGTTATATAGGGGATTCTATAGGGGACGATTATCGGGATTATTAAGGGGGATACTAGGACTTGAGACCCTCAACCCTGAACCCTAAACCCTAAACCCTAAACGCTCCAGTAGTGCTTAGAGTTTAGGGCATCAGGTTTAGGTTGTTCTTTCTGCATGCACTGCTAGCGGGTCCTATAGGTGGCTGACTAGTCCAGCCTCCTAAACCCTAAACCCCCTAAACAAAATACGGCCCAGGGCTCCAATTCACCATGGTTGGTTCCAAACTTGCGGGCTCCAGGGTTTCGGGTCTTGAGGGCTCCACAGCATAAGCTCCCAAATGTTGCATACTAATCCTTCAACTTCGCATCCATAGCCAGCACCCTAAAACCTTGAAGTTTTCCGTGAAAAACACTAGGTGCTCTTGCTTTGACAAGCTGTTTGTTAGTAGGGAATGAAGGAAGGCACCCCTTTACAGCCCCCCAATCCCTCAGCCTTAACCTAAAAACCCTAAGCCCAACAACACATTAGTTTGCATTTTCTTTCCCATGCCTCAGTGTTAAGCCCTACACCAGTTTCAGGTTATCCCCTTTTAACGCATACCCAGATGGTGGCCTACTATGATACCCACCCTGTAGTACAGTAGTTTTCATATTCTTTTGCATTCCCTCAGTCCCCACTAGCAACAAAACCCTAAACCCTAGACCCGAAACCCATCCGTTGGCTTGCCAAAGCTGACAGATATACTGATGCGTGCAGTAAAAGACAGCTAGTTGAGGGCTGAATGGGAAAACATAAAAAGGACATTGAAGCTTCTGTATTATTTGCGTGGGTGATATAGTATGGGGGCTACATCCCTGTCTCCGTTCCTCTACAAACAACCAGTAAGACAATTTGGAGAGTGGGAGCAGGAGGAACAATGCTACTTTTCTCTGTGTCTAGGTCTTGAGGTAGGGGGCTACTGGTGCAGCTTCTGCGCAATCTCCAACACAGGGTTCCGTTCACTTGCTACAAAGACAAGCCACCCCTTACAAAACTCTGTCCGATCGTCTGGCGGCCCGGGCTCAGAGTTTGAAGTTTCAGGCGCCGCCAATCAAGGACGCCTCGAGGGTCTTTCACTCTTTAGCTTACCTTTAAGGGTTTAGTGTTTAAGGCTTAGGTGGACTCCCCACCCAGTAAGAGTGAGTACAAGGGATAGTGGTGATCATATTGGCGGCCTCTTATGATCCTGTTCCATCACTTGTACAGGGCTGGGGGTCTACCTAAAGCTTACCCCTGCGTAGCAAGGAATGAAGAACTGGATCCTTATAGTAGTCTCTATAAAATCCTCGCCAACAAAGTCGTTTCCATTTCTCTTCAATCCGTTCAGTCCCTGCTTATCAGAGGTATGGTAGGAGTTCAGAAGGGGATGGAGCTGCTGAGCTTGAAGTTTTTGTTGGGATTGCGGGGCCCTAAGCCCTGACCCCACTCAGGTTGTCTGAGGCCTCAGAAACAGCCTATGATGTGGGATGTCTGCTTTGGGGGGTGGGTCTACGATGAGGGTCTGGGCTTTAGTGTTTAGGGTTTGGAGTTTAGGGTGTAGTGCGAAGAGGGAGCATCGGCTTTCTTGAGTTGGACATTGACATCAGCTTATAGTAAAGTCTTCAGAGTTATGTCGCTTATGAAGGTTAAGTACGGGCGAAACTAAGGGATGAGCATGGGGGGCAGTTGGGGATCCCATGAAATAGTGGAAGAAGGGGATTCCCTGAGCCTAATTAGATCTAGGCGCAGGCCTTTGAGAGGTCCTAATGTTTCCAAGGAATTGTTGGAACATACGAATCATGGGGATTTAGGGTTTAGGGTTTGGGGCTACTGTGGTCCGTGGTTTAGGGCTGAAAGGTTTAGGGTCTCTATGGTGCTCCTCCAGGTGGCCTTAACCCCAAACCTTGGGTACTGCCCCCACCCAGTAACAGTTTATATTAGAGGTCCTATTAAGGGCTATATATATAACCATATTTTAATTAAGGGTTTAGGGTATAGGGGTCCTATTAAGGGCTATATATATATAACCATATTTTAATTTAGGGTTTAGGGTATAGGGGTCCTATTATGGGCTATAATATATAAACATATTTTAATTTAGGGTTTAGGGTATAGGGGTCCTATTAAGGGCTATATATATAACCATATGTTAATTTAGGGTTTAGGGTATAGGGGTCCTATTAAGGGCTATATATAACTGAGTGGGGGAGGGGGGGCAGTACCCAACCTAGACCCTAAACCCTAAACCCTAGACTCTAATTTAAGGAACTACCCAGGTTAATGAGTGGGGGCAGTACCCAACCCCAAACCCAACATCCCAAAATGTTGGCATAGTTGATGAGTAAAGGCAACCCTGGTCGTCGCTGCTGGGCTAGACTGCTGTTCTGTTCCTTCAAAGGGTCAGATGGGGATATCAAGAATCTAGAGATTATATAGGGATATTTAGATTTAGGCATTATGTTGGGAGCTTGAGGGATAAGATTGTAAACCCGACGCCCTACAACCTAAATTTATATCAGGGTAGGAAGGGATCTTTGGCTGGCTTCTAGAAGAGCGCCTAGAGCTTTTTCTCATTCTCATGGTGATCCAAGGTCTCCGTCCCCGCAAGCTTCGGTGTTTAGGATTTAGGATTTAGGGTGAGCCTGAAGCGCAAATGCAGAGCCACCCAGACCAATTGGAACCTGACACACTGAATCTCCCAAATTAATACTCTGAATCCTGCGCCACCCTGCATCGCAAATATGCCAAATCTAGAAGAACTCTACCACCCAAAGATCTTACGCCTTTAGCCTAACGTCCTGGACCCGAAGACTTAAACCCTTATAGTCCCCCTCAAGTAGATAGAATACGGGGTATATAGGGATCTCATCATACCATACCCAAAGCCATATTCTATCTACTTAATGGGAACTATAACCAAACACCTTGAATCTTAACTAAACCCTAAAGCTTAAACCCTTAAACCCCAAACCTTAAACCCTGAACCCTAACCCCTTAAACCCTTCAACCCTTCAACCCTTAAACCCTAAACCCTAAACCCTTAAACCTGATGCCTCCCCAACGCTAATCACCTCAGGACGATGACAGGCTTCTCGCAGCCCCTGACTTTCCTGGCACCGGGCTTGCCCGAGGCCGACATTGTGGGCTTAGGGTTTAGGGTATAATTGGGTTTAGGGTTTAGGGTATATTGGGGTTATATCTAGGCAACAATGGAAAAGACAATGCAAACTACCAGAATAGCGTTTAGGGTTATATGGCCCGAGGCCGACGTTGCTTGAGTTCATGGTTTAGACTTTAGGATTTGGGCTCGGGGTTCAGGATTTAGGGCTCAGGGCTTAGGATTCTTGATTTAGGACTTAGGGTTTAGGTTTTAGGCTCGCGGGTCAGGGTTCGGGGTCAGGGATTTCGGGTTTGATTAAGCTTGGACTTTTCTAGGCTCAGTGCTCACCACTCTGCACGCACAGCTCAGGAGGTTCTTCGGTGGATGGGCAGGATTTTGTAGGAGTTCGTGGCACGTCGTTTGCTAGATATTCGTAGGAACCGTATTAGAAAAGGAATCCAAAAAGGGACCGTAGTTTTCGCCACCAAAACTTTAAACCCGAAATACCAGATAATCTCAAAGCGTTGGAGGTGGCAGGGAGCTATCACCTCATTCAGGACCATCGTTATCTGCAGTGAATTCATCCCCTCTACTACAAGTAACATATTGAACGTACCATTCTATAGTCTGGGGAGAACTTGTTATATGGTATAAGTTATCAGTGCGGTGGGGAGGTTCATTTTTAGAGAAGGCGCTTAGAAAATAGAGGAGTGCATCCCAGTGGTTCCCTCCCAAGCAGCATGGATTACCCCACGGCATTGAACCTTACAAACATCCCTTGGTTCCCCTATAATTCTTTAGAAATTCAACTGGGCTGTTCAAGGCGACTTCACGGGGAACCGAGGGTGTAGCAGGCGAACCCGTGAAAATACCAATAGGAACAAGCTTATTGATGCCTGACAGTGGATGGAGGAATCTTGCACTTGGCATTTTTACACTTGGTTCTCCCTAGACCTTAAACCCTAAACCCTAAATTCCTAGTAGTTAGGCGACATAGAGTGGTGCAGGCACGATTTCCTCCATGAAAAGCATCAGAATCTTTAAGCAAGCTTATCACTAGGTATAGCTATACTTGTTCTTCTTACCCCTTAATTATGATCACCTTAAACCCTTCATGGAAGAGGTCCTCCAGAAATGAGCCTCAAATCCCAAGCCCAAATCCCTAAACCCCCAAACGCCCTAAACCCTGCAAATATGGATCCAACCCAAAGTCCGTTCCGCGCAAGGTCGCGCCAGCAGTAGCTCCAGCCGCCCGGTCCTATGCTCCCCTCTCCGAAAGGCCGCCGGGCAAACTAGTGTATGTAGGAAACCCTAAACCCTAAACCCTAAAAAAGATTACGCAAATAATGGAGCATTCAATGGACAAGAAAATGTAGAATGAGATGGAAACTGGGATTATTATGGGTTATATTGGGGTAATATTGGGGTTTTCTTGAATCAATGGAAAAGAAAATGGAAACTACAGGGATTATAGGGGTTTGTTGTAAGGGTTTGTAAGCAGAACTGCCATCTCCAAGAGCTCTGCGTACACTCAATGGTGATTTATAGAGCAGGGCGCCCAAAAGGGCTGACTTTTTGGGGGTAGCCCGTCAACTTGTGTATGGTTGCTTCTAGTGGTGGATCACTGTTGCATCTAAGGCTGCAGTCCTACTCGTCATCTTTCCTCTGCTTTTTCCGGTGCTGCT